ATATAGCACTAAGATATGCCCCACTTAATATATACCGAGTATCCACACTCTATGACTGAAACTAATTGACTAAAGGATATAGAAACACAGTATATAGATGTAAATACCAGATATAGTGTGTGTGAAAGACGAGGGTCCAAGGAAGGACACTTAGAAGAAAAATAGGGAGGCAAAGCATTAATGGCACAAAGAAATGTGGTATCTGTTGAAGATATTTTGTAGTTTTATCAACTGTACTAGGGAGAAATATTCACCTGTTGAAATATCCATTTTGTAAGCCAAATAATAATGTGATTGAATGTATAAAAGAAAATGAAATGGGGGAAAAAAAAGATATACCTCAATAAAAAAGCAAATTAAAAAAAAGTTTAAAAGCTCCTAATTCAGAAAGAGTGCTTTATAGGGAAGGTGTGCATGCTTATTCTTGCAGGTAAGTTTATCTACCTCACCGAAGGGAAGAATAACAAACGCAGATGCATCTTTTTTTTTTTTTTAATTAAGCCACTATGATCTGAGCATTTTGAGAAAAGCAACTCAGAGGCAACTTTATACTGCACCCTGAATCTAGACTAGGGGCTCATATGCAAAGTTCAGGAGCCTTGTTTGGCCCTCGGGCGATGCTTCCCAGCTCTGGTTCCCCACATTTAACAGCTTCCATCTTGGTGTTGCAGAAACAAAAATAAATCCGCACATTTCCAAGAAAAACAAAAGACATTAGTTTCTACCCTCGAATCTGCTAAAGAAAAACATCCATACGAACCACACACGGTGCAATGAGCTAGAATTTAAAAACAGATCCAGCCTGCCAGCATTCCAAGTGTTCAATAATAGCAGCCAGTGGTCACCTGGGGCAGCGGAAATAACATGGTAACGGTATTTTGAGAGGTTCCTGGAATCAAAACATAGGTCAGATTTTTCCCCTTTCCTTTTGTTTTCAGGAGAAAATTAGTTATTCTCCCAGGGATTGAGGGTAGTTATTTTTCTCAGACTTGATATCCAAGCATAGTCTGTTTCTTCCCACGTGTAGCCTGAAACTAGTAAAGTGAAAAATCATCTCGTGATAGGCAGCCAATTTTCAAAGCCAAGAGAAGAAGCACATTCGGCTCTCTGAAATGGGAAGAGCATAGGGCTCAGGGGACAAATCTAGGTAAAAACAAAAACATCTATTATTTAGTGACTGGCGGTGAGAACTATTTGGAAGCAAGAGACTATGAAGTAGATAATGAAGTTAATGAAAGAACAAGGACATTTTGATATTGACCTTGTTGTATTAAACTGTATAAATATGATTACAATGAATAAGAGGAGTTCTTTGCTGTTCAGAATTGGATACTTGAAAATCACACCGGGTGCATGTGCATGCATGCCCAAATATCCTGGAGAATGGAGAAGAAGGGATTGCTGTGTGGCCATCCCCCGTACAGGGTGATTTCTCACTTTCCCTCTCTCTGTCTCTCTCCAGTGAGCACACGTGCCCTATGGCAAACAAAACAAAACGAAACAAAATGGATGCAAATCTTTAAATATATGATTTTTTTTAAAAAAAAAGGCATTTAGCCAAGTTAGCTGCTACAAATGCACAAGAGATACAGTGCTTTGGCTTTATAGTCATTTTGCAGTTTTGCTACTATGCATCAGTTATCAGTTGTCGTTCCACAGCAATTTAAAACTATCTAGGGCTTGTCCTGATCCTCTGACGACTGAATCAGGTGCTACTGTCATCTACACTTACCTGATTTTTCTTCAGCAGAGCACTTAGCAACAGTACTACAATTCCTGGGTTCTGTGTCTGTCTCTCCCACCAGTCTGACCACAAGCTTTATGAAGACTGGAACTTCAATCACACACTCCCATAGGGTGCATATGTATAAATTTGCGCTCCTCACCAACTGTAATGAATTATTTCTGCTATTTTTTTCAATGAGTCCTCTTCCACTGATGCTAAGACCCATGCCTGTGATATTTCACATTTGCTTCCCTGACTACTCAGCTAATCTGTATTTGTTGAATGACTGCCCACAGCCTAGCAGAGTATTAGTGAACCCAAATAATATGGTGAACTAATGAATCACTTTTCTAAAGCACACCAAGCTTTTCTTCTTTCCAGAGCTGACTGGGTGTTCATCAAGCTCCTGGGCAATAAAGTCATCTTCTGGTGGCCAACAGGCCAGACGCGGTGCCCTAAAACTTGCCAAGTTTGTCTTGGACATGTGAGCACGAGAAATTCTTATTTGGGGATTCTTAACCACACCCACCCATGAACGGGCTTCTATAAATCAGACTCATATTTCTTGACTAAAGAATGTATATCCTCTGAAAGAGCACCTTGCTTCCTTCGTTAAATATATTTAGGGGGATTATAAAAAGAACAAAGAGAGGTGGAAGAACGCCTACTTTAGCCTTTCAGATCAGCTCAATCTATGCAAGTAATCAGCATAGACTGGAGTCTGCCCTTATGTCCCCCAAAAATACTTCTAAGTTGAAAAGCAGAAGGCAAAGGAACAAGAGCAACAAGAGATTGTAAGATGATAAATGACTTTAACTGAAATTCATCATATAATAAAACTAATGTGGTATTCTAATCCAATAATCATCATTACTGACCAGTGGTTTAATAACCATTAAAAAGAGACTCACTAATACCATGAACATATTTATACGTAGCAGTTTCACAAAAACATCTGAGCTTCAATAGCCCCTGAGAAGTAGTTTCTTGAGGCTTTTAATTACCAGAGCTCTGCTGAAGACCTCTAGTTCATTAGCCCCCTTGGCTGAACTGCACCCCTCCTTCCCTACTGCTCTTCTGGGCATTCCACATTCTCTCACCGAGGGGTTTCCCCAAATCCACTGGGTCAACCCCGGCCCTGGAAGGCTCCTTGTCCAGCTGCTGGCTGGCCCAAGAGGAAGCAGCAATGCTTCCCTGTGCTCATTAGAGACGATTACTGTTTCACTTCAACCCACATCTTGGTGTTGATAGTGAGTCCGTTTCCCCACCCCTCCCAGTATCGCCAGCATGCCTAAATGTGGCTGCTCGGAAATGCACACTTCTACATGTGAGCACAGCCACAAGGTCAAAGACCTCAGTTCCCCTTTATTTCTGATTCTTGGCTCTACAAACCTAAATCTGTATTGGAGTTCCCTACAAAGGTTCCTGGTGTTTGTTTAAAAGGGAAAGA